TAAACTATTCAGTGTTCCCATGTTCTGTTCGAACAACTGCCTCTTAGTACAGGTGCAGATTCCTCATGAGCACAATTAAGTGTTCCGGAATACTCATACTTCGCAATGTTGTCCGTAGCTTGTGGTTATTCTAATAAACTACCTCCAAGCCACTACTTGCATCTTCTGGGATATTTCCAGAATATACATTTAAAGGAGTAAAAATAATATGAAAGTATTGTGTGAGAATTGGCTAAGGAAACCTAAATGGCAATTCTACACTTTGAGTGCTCATGCCTCAAATGCTGATTATTAAAATATACTGGTAAATCTACATAGATCATGCCACTTACTGTAACCATCTGGACAGTCTCATCTCAGATACAACCCTGGTGTGGTGCTGCAGGATAATGCACTGGACTACCAGGTTACTTTGAGACACAAGGTCAGCGGTTCTAACCTACCAGTCGCTCCTCAGAAACCCTATACAGGGTCACTATGAGTTGGAACTGACTAGATAGCACTTAACAACAACAGCGTAATAACAATGAAAAAAACATAAAAACAAAAACTGTGGGTAGGAAAGACCAGTAACATTAAAAACATGTCCCTAACAAAAAAGGCCTTTATAAAACTGGAATGTAACCCCACTCTTCCCCCACCAATGAATAGCTTAGTCTCTAATTCATTCAATTATCTTTTATTTCTTAGAATATTGGGCAAAAAAAGATTCTGAGAATTACTCTGAACTTATCCTGAGTAAATATCAGTATTTAAAATGTCTCCAGCATTATGAATCCTAGAACACTGACAACCAGGATCATACTGATAGCAGAGAATAGAAGAAGAGAGGCAAAAGAAAAATAAATAAAGGCCAAACGGTGGTAATGACAGACATATAAATCATGATATAAGATGTGGTCTTCCTGACTTGTGTTTTCGAAAGCTATCTTACTGAAATTCAATCTAAAATAGCAAAACTATTATTGTTTTAAGTCATGGCATAGAGCTTCCAAAGAGCAGATGGTGGGTTTGAACCACTGACATTGTGGGTCCAAGTCCAGTGCTTATCCTACAATACCACACAGGACTCCACATATCTTGTTGCTGTTGTTAAGTTCTGTCGAGCCAGTTCTGACTCAAGTGACCGTATGTAAGATTTCCGAGGAGCAGCTGGTAGGTTTGAACTGCCAACCTTTTGCTTAGTAGTCCAGTGCTTATCCTATAGTGCCATATCTTGCAGTTAGTGCTAATTAAGATAGACCAAGAATTGCTATGGTAAATTATACTTGGGACCAATCTTAGACTGTTGTTGTTAGCTATCAAGTGGGTTATAACTCATAGCGACCCTGTATAGGATTTCTGGGAGCTGCTGGTGGGATCGAACTGCTGATCATCAGTTAGCAATCTAGGGCTTATCCTACAGTGCCACACCAGGACTAATCTAAGATTAAGAAGGCAAAAAGTGACCATCAAATAAAGCTAACCAAATCAGTTTACAGCAAAGAAAATTGTTCAGTATTTCATTAGGAAAGAATGATTTTTAAACTTAATAGTCACAAATCATAATACTTATAGTCAATAAACTTTGAATAATATTGAACTTTGGACATTTACTATACAAAGAAAAACTTTTTATTACGTGGATTTTGATAGGTAACCTAATATGTAACAGAAGAAATAGTCTGTCCACTATAATGAAAGAATTTAAACTGTTTAGTAAACTATCATATGGGGCCTTTAAAACTGGAAAATTAAGATATATGCCAACTTATGCCCAAGATTCTATAAGAATTTTAATTAGCTGAATATAATTTTTCATTTGTACCTTCGAGAAGAAAACCATAAATACTGCACAAATACAACATAATAATTTATCTATAAGATTTAATTTGAAATATAACCAACAATGTAAGTCCTGAAAATATTTAGAGGAGTCCTGGTGTGTCATTATAGGCTATGCACTGGACTACTAACCTAAAGGTTGTTGGTTCAAATTCACCAGTAACTGTCAACTCGAAAATCCTATAGAGGGTCACTGTGAGTCAGAAACAACTGGACAGATGGCCACCGATATTTTCTAATAAAAATAGTTTAAAAGATGTAATCCTTGCTACATTTTTTTTTGTCTTTCAATTTATAGATCTGCTTGCTTTATGAGTTGAAAATACCTTCTGTGCAAAGGAATTCATTTCTATGCTTAAAATATATGGACACACTTACGAAGTTCGCCAGCTGCATTTCGCCCACCGACTGCATACAGATATCCTTTGAGGGCACTTAGGTGGAAGAAGGTGCGCTTTTCATTTAAAGATGCCACTTGCATCCATTTATTGTATCGAGGATCAAATCTGAAGACTGTATCGACTGCTGTTTTTCCTTTTGTATCATAATTACTCTGTCCACCAACGACATAGAGAAAATTTCCAATGACAGCAATGCCATGTTGGTACCTTGGGGCATCCATGGGGGCCAACGATTTCCACTCATGGTTCTTTTCATCATACATGCGCAATTCTTTGCTGACAACAAGCTGCTGCCTCAGCACTCCTCCTAGTGTAACCAAATGAGTGGTGTCAGACCGAATGGCAGTCCTGTCTGACTGCATCACTGGCTGCATATAGGGCATCATTTGGTAATTGCTGGCTTCCAAAAGCAGATTCACACAAGTATTGTCAGTTCTCATGAAATCCACGGTTTGCACATAATTAATGAGTTCCTGTGGTGTCATCAGTGGAAAACGTATGTTCTTCATTAATTTTGCAGCAAAGTCCATTCGAGGCTCTTCCAGGCGTAGCCAGCGACAGGTTGCCTTAAAGAGCTCAAGTTCAGTGCAATGCTTAAGGCTATTACTGGAAAGCACAAAGGCAAGACGCTCGAAAGGCAGTTTCAAGAACTCCCCAGTGCTCAGCAATGCAGGAAAATTCTTCAGGACGAAATTATTAACGTATTTATCCACTTCTGTTAGGTTGTAGGTGTTGGCAATCCGTCCGACTTCAACACAATTGTCTAATGTGACCTATTAAGACAAAAAAATTTAAATAATACACATTCATGATACTCTGGCCACATGGAAATTAAAAACAAACAAACAAACAAAAAACCAGAAAGTCATTCAATGATAGTAGGAGCGCCGGTGACACTGTGGTTAGACACAAGCTGCTAACTAAAAAGTCACCAGGTACTTCACAGAAGAAAGATGCGGCAGTCTAATTTTATAAAGATTCCTGCCTTGGAAGCCCTATGAGACAGTTCTACCCTATCCTATAGGGTCACTCTGAGTTGGAATCAACACAACAGTAGTGGATTTAGGTAAAGGAGATACTCTGTAGAGTCTCTTCTTCAACAAGACCTCTTTGCAATATTCTAATAACTGGTCAAAAGTGAAAATAGGAATATAACATCAGTAAATACAACACAAGGAACAAATCACAAAAAAAGTCTGCCATACAAACGTGTGTGTGTGTGTGTGTGTGTAGGCAGAGACAGGTCATAGGCAAAGAACTCAAATGCACTTATGTCACACAAACTTTCATCAATGCAACTGTACTGCTGACAGATTGGCAAATGGTTAAAAGGGAAGTGACTAAGCCTTCTATTATCCTTCTATTTAAAAGCTGAAATGAGACTACAAGCATTACTCCTCTGTATAAAATAGAATAAAAATCTCAGGATAAAATACACAGACACACACATACAGTTATTTTCATAGATTTATCACTGAAAAAATCATTTGAACTCATTTAAGCAGCTGATTTGCTCTACAAAAATCACCAAAATATCATTTTAGCAACTTATTATGCTTAACAGTTATATAAAAAACTAAAATGTAACTGTAGCACAAAAGAACTACATTTATAGCATGTGAAATAAACGAAGATGATAGATTAGAAGAAATTTATGCTTTAGAAATGGGATCAAGCCATTTAATTCCTTCCCTTTTCCTCTTCAACTTAATAAAATAATTGCTAAAATGACAGGATAATAAAACTTACATTTACTTAAAGGGACTAATAACACCTAAAATATCTTTTCTATACAAGAGCACTTATACTGTACCAAACTCACTGCACTGGAAAAGCTCTTGACAGACCACCCAGTTAAGGCATAGAGCTGTTCACTCTTGTCTTCAAAATTGTGCAATTGATACTACATAATTTCCTGAATTGTCATTGTATTGATAGAAGAAGGACTAAATATTTTTTACAGTTCATGAACAGGAGCTACCACATCAGGTATATACCAAGCCAAACCAAACCCACTGTCATGGAGTCAAGTCCAACTCATAGTGACCCTGTATAGGGTTTCCAAGGCTGTAAACCTTTATGGGAGTATAAAGCCTCATCTTTCTCTGGGGGTGTATGTTGTTGTTGTTAATTGCTGTTGAAGTGGCAGAGTCTATGTTGTTGTTAAGTGCTGCCAAGTCAGTTCTGACTCATAGCAACCCTGTGTAGATTTTCTGAGGAGCGGCTGATGAGTTTGAACCACCGACCTTTAGGTTCAAACTGACCTAGCTTATCCTAAAAGGTCTATTATTGTGGTTGTTAAGTGCCATCGAGTTGGTTCCGACCCATGGCGATCCTGTATAGGGTTTATAGCGAAGGTGAAACACCAAACATGTAAGGCTAATTGCAACGAAAATTAGAATACCTGTTAAACTAATATAGCAAATTGTTTTTGCTGTTGTTAAGTGTCACGAAGTTGGTTCCGGCTCATAGGAGCACTGTTTTGGGTTTCTAAGGAGCAGTTGGTTGTTTGAACCCCAACCTTTCAGTTAACAGTCCAGTGCTTATCTATAGCATAGCACTCAAACTCTAATATAGAAAATTACTGAATGCTTATGAATTTTAAATTGAGACTCAGATAAGAAAAAAATATGTAACAGGAAATTAAACTTTATCAAATACATGTAATTAGACCTACTGAACTTAATCACTAAAAACAAGGACTAAAAACAAAAATGTTAGAATAATAGTTAACAATATAAGCAGACTAATAATGATGAAATAATAATAAGCCATTTCGGAAAAATACAAGATGATTCTATTATGGTTCATTTCAATCAATTTTTCAATCATGACTCTTAAAAGTGCCTCAGCTAGCACACTGACAAACACTTAGCCTAAATAGTATCAAATCATGCACATATGCAGCAATATAACAACTGCTGTTGCTAAGTGACAGAGTCAGTTCCAACTCATAGTGACCCTATGCCAGGGTTTCCAAGAAGCAACTGATAGGTTACAACTGCTGACCTTGTGTTTCGCAGTTTAGGACCACAAGTTCATTGAAAAACGCCATTATATTTTAATTCCAGTTTGAAGTCCTGTTGTATAAAAACAGTACAATTCATGTATAATAGAATGTATTACATTTTTGAAAATATAAAATGAAAAGTATAAAGCTCATTTAAAAAAACACCTCAAAATTAAAATTCCAACATCATCTACATACTTAATCTGGTCAAAATTCCAGACTCATTACAGATGTTAATACAAATAATTAAGATAGTGCCCTAAAGGACTGTTGTTGTTGTATGTAGTCCAGTTGGTTCTAACATAACACCCAGTCCTGCACCATCCTCAAAATTGTTATTATGCTTGAACCCATTGCTGGTACCACTGCATCTTATTGGGGGTCTTCTTTTTCGCTGATCCTCCACTTTATCAAGAAAGATGTCCTTCTATAGGGACTGGTCCCTCCTGACAATATGTATGAAGTATGAGACAAATAGTCTCGCCATCCTGGCTTCTAAGGAGCATTCTGGCTGTGCATCTTCCAACACAAGTTTTCTGGTGGTCAATGGTATTTTTAATATTCTTCTCCAGCACCATAACTCAAATGCATCAATTCATCTATGGTCTTCCTTATTCATTGTCCAACTTTCACATGCATATAAGGCTATTGAAAATACTATGGCTTGGGTCAGACGCACTCTAATCCTCAAACTGGTATCGTTACTCTTCAACATTTTAAAGAGGTCTTATGCAACAGATTTAAGTAATGCAATACGTCATTTAATTTCTTGACTGCTATTTCCATGAGTGTTGATAGTGGATCCAAGCAAAATGAAGTCTTGACAACTTCAATCTTTTCTCCATTTATCATGACATTATTTACTGATTCAGTTGTGAAGATTTTTGTTTTCTTTACATTGAGGTGCAACCCATATTGAAGACTGTGGTCTTTGATCTTCATCAGTATTTTAAGTCCTCTTCACTTTCCGCAAGCAAAGTTGTATCATGTGCATATTTCAGGTTGCTAATGAGTCTTCCTCCAATCCTTACGCTGTATTCCTCTTCATATAATCCAGCTTCTCAGATGATTTGCTTAGCACAATGTTCTGCTACTATTCAGAAGGTTTCAGTGGCTAAATATTTAGAAGTAGTCCACCTCTCCTTCTTCCTAGTCTGTCTTCGTCTGGAATCTCCATTGAAACCAGTCCTCCATTCTAGTATTTAAAATACTGGTGGCATACCTTCCAGCATCACAGCAACAAGCCTGTCACCACAGTACAACCAACTGACAGATGAGTGGAGGTTTTAAAGGATTACGAAGTCAAAAAAAGGGCAAATGTTCTTGACCACTTAAAGGAATTGAAATAGGTTTACTATTCAGGTACTCCCAAAATTGCAAATACTGGACTTGCAGACATTCTATCCAGAACTGCTATTTAAATGACCCCAACGCTCAAGCTTGCTTCTTTATTAGCAAAAGAAAATGACTTCTCTAATGACTTCTGATTTCCTTCATTTTATTTCCCCTTGAACGAGCCAAACTTTCCCTATTTCTCTGTTGTGTCTTTCGTCCTCTCTTCCACATATACTGATTCGTCACTATCTTTCTTCAATGCCTCACCACACCCAGTCATCTCAATAAAAATTTCTCTCCATTTCGTTATAGGTCCACTCAGTCCTATCATGGATATATTGGGAACCAATACTTGTATCAAGAAAAAAAAAAATGGAATAAAACTTGGAAAACAATTAAAGAAAAGATGTCATCAAGTATGATGATGTATTCCTTACTTGATGAATGCACTTTTTAAATGTTTTTCTTGTTCATTTTTATTCCATTCTGTTTATACAATACTCAAATTATAATATTTTTAGTTCATTTACAAATGCCATATTTCAGCAAGGTTACATTAAATTGGTTTTGTGAACTGGCCTATAATCTTCAACAACTAATTCTTCTGGGCAAACTCAGGTGCTACAAGTTCTAAATCGCAAACAAATAATAAAAAATGTATGACCAACTTGCTTGTAAATCACATTTGCAAAGTATTTACAATGATTAATTTATGCAATGTCATCAGGACAAAAATTAACGTAAATTTGATTGTTGTTGCAGTTAGGTGCCATTGAGTCAATACCACCTCATAGCAACCCTATGCATAATAGAACGAAACACTGCCCGGTCCTGAGCCAACCTCACAATTGTTGCCACATTTGAGCCATTGATGCTGCTACTTTGCCAATTTATTTTGCTGGAGGAATGATATTCTTCTCCAGTGACTGGTCCCTCCTGACAATATGCCCAAAGTATGAGAGACGAAGTTTGGCCATTTTGGCCTCCAAGGAGCACTCTGGCTGCACTCTTCCAAAATGGATCAATTGGCTCTTTTGGCAGGCATGGCAATTTCACTATTCTCCTCCAACACCATAACTCAAAGGCATCAATTCTTCTATGGTCTTCCTTATTCACTGTGCAGTTTTCGCATGCATAGGAGGTTTTTGAAAATACCATGGTTTGGGTCAGGTGCACCTTAGTTCTCAAGCTGACATCTTTGCTCTTCAACACTTTAAAAAGGTCTTGTGCAGCAGATTTGCCTAATGCAATACGTCATTTGATTTCTTGACTGCTGCTTCT